CCTGGCTCCCTGCCTCAGAGCTTTTTTTTTTTTTTTAAGTTGGTGTTCCAGTCGCCTGCTGAAGAGGTGCCAGGATCTGTGTGTTTTCCCATGTGGCAACTCACTGCACTGGCTTAAACAGCGGCACTGAGATTTGTGGTGCTTTTTTTTACCCTGGGATCTACTGTCCTGGTTCCCTGTTCAGTCCCCTTTATAAACAGCTGAATGGGCGACTTCCCGTGGCTCCAATCGCCAGCCAAAAGGGCACCTGGACCAGTGTATTTTATATGGAGAACCCGCTGCGCCAGGGTGCTGACAAAGCAGCCATGCGGGGCAAAGCAGCCGCGCCAGCCAACACAACCAGCCACGCTGGCGACCCATGGGGTTCCTCCACCTGAGAATTTCCTAATCTGTGGGCAATAAAAATGTGGCGTCCACTCACCCTCTGCACTTTCACTGGGAGCTGCAACCCTAAGCTGTTCCTAAATGGCCATCTTGGATCGATCCTCTCAACATTCTTAAAAGAATGTTCAACTTAGAATTTCATATCCAGACAAACTTAGCTTCATGAGCATAAGAGAAATAAAATCCTTTGCAGACAAGCAAATGCTGAGAGATTTTGTAACCAGGCCTACCTTACTGGAGGTCTTAAAGGAAACACTAAACATGGAAAGGAATAAACAGTACCAGCCACTGCAAAAACATACCAAATTATAAAGATCATCAACACTATGAAAAAACTGCATCGACTAATAAACAAAGTAACCAGCTAGCATCATAATGACAGGCTCAAATTCACACATAACAATATTAACCTTAAATCTAAATGGGCTAAATACCCCAATTAAAAGACACAGGCTGGCAAATTAGATAAAAAGTCAAGACCTATCAGTGTGCTGTATTCAGGAGACCTGTCTCACATGCAAAGACACACATAGGCTAAAAATAAAGGGATGGAGAAATATTTACCAAGCAAATGGAAAGAAAACAAAAAGAAAAAAAAAAAAAAAAAAAAAAAAAAAAAAAAAAAAAAAAAAAAAAAAAAAAAAAAAAAAAAAAAAAGAGGGGTTGCAACCTAGTCTCTGGTAAAACAGACTTTAAACCAACAAAGATCAAAAGACACAAAAAAGGGCATTACATAATGGTAAAGGGATCAATGCAACAAGAAGAGCTAACTATCCCAAATATATATGCACTCAATATAGGAGCACCCAGATTCATAAAGCAAGTTCTTAGAGACCTTCAAGGAGACATACACTCCCATAGAATAATAGTGGGAGACTTTAACACCCTACTGTCAATATTAGATAGATGAATGAGACAGATAATTAACAAGGATATCCAGGTCTTGAACTCAGATCTGGACCAAGTGGACCTAATGGACATCTACAGAACTCACCACCTAAAATCAACAGAATATACATTCTTCTCAGCACCACATCACACTTATTCTAAAATTGACCACATAATTGGAAGTAAAACACTCCTCAGCAAATGCAAAATAATGGAAATCATAACAAATAGTCTCTCAGACCATAGTGCAATCAAATTAGAACTCAGGGTTAGAAACTCACTCAAAATTGCACAACTACATGGAAACTGAACAACCTGCTCCTGAATGACTACTGGGTAAATAATGAAATGAGGCCAGAAGTTCTTTGAAACCAATGAGAACAAAGACACAATGGACCAGAATCTCTGGAGCACATTCAAAGTAGTGTCTAGAGGGAAGTTTATAGCACTAAATGCCCACAAGAGAAAGCAAGAAAGATCTAAAATTGACAAACTAATATCACAATTAAAAGAACTAGAGAATCAAGAGCAAACAAATTCAAAAGCTAGCAGAAGAAAAGAAAATCAATGAATCCAGGAGCTGTTTATTTGAAAAGATCAACAAAATAGATAAACCAATAACCAGATTAATTAAGAAGAAAAGAGAGGAAAATCAAATAGATGCAATAAAAAATGATAAAAGGGATATAACCACTGATGTCACAGAAATACAAAGTACCATCAGAGAATACTGCTAACACCTCTATGCAAATAAAGTAGAAAATCTAGAAGAAATGGATGTATTTCTGGACATATACACCCTGCCAAGTCTAAACCAGGGAGAAGTCAAACCCCTGAATAGACCAATAAGAAGTAGAAATCGAGGCAGTAATTAACACCCTACCAACCAAAAAATTCAAGGACCAGATGGATTCACAGTCGAATTCTACCAGAGGTACAAAGAAAAGCTGGTACCATTCCTTCTGAAACTATTCCAAACAATAGAAAAAGAGGGAATCCTCCCTAACTCATTTTATGAGAGTAGCATCATCCTGATACAAAAACCTGGCAAAGACGCAACAGAAAAAGAAAATTTCAGGCCAATATCACTGATGAACATTGATGCGAAATCCTCAATAAAATATTGACAAACCAAATACACCATTACATCAAAAAGCTAATCCACCATGATCAAGTCAGCTTCATTCCTGGGATGCAAGGCTGGTTCAACATATGCAAATCAATAAATGTAATCCATCATAAACAGAAACAAGGACAAAAACCACATTATTATCTCAATAGATACAGAAAAGGCCTTCAATAAAATTAAACACCACTTCATGCTAAAAACACTCAATAAACTAGGTATTGATGGAACATATCTCAAAATTATAAGAGCTATTTATGACAAACCCACAGCCAATATCGTACTGAATGGGAAAAAAACTGGAAGCATTCCCTTTGAAAACTGGCACAAGACAAGGATGCCCTCTCTCACCATTTCTATTCAACATAGCATTGGAAGTTCTGTCCAGGACAATAAGGCAAGAGAAAGGAATAAAGCATATTCAAATAGGAAGACAGGAAGTAAAATTATCACTGAGTGCAGATGACATGATTGTATATTTAGAAAACCCCATCATCTCAGCCCAAAATCTCCTTAAGCTGATAAGCAACTTTAGCAAAGTCTCAATATACAAAATCAATGTGCAAAAATCACAATCATTCCAGTACACCAATAATAGAGAGTCAAATCATGAGTAAACTCCCATTCACAGCTGCTAAAATGAGAATAAAATACCTAGGAATATAACTTACAAGGGATGTGAAGGACCTCTTCAAGAACTACAAACCACTGCTCTAGGAAATGAGAAGATACAAAACATTTTATGCTCATGGATAGGAAGAATCAATATCATAAAAATGCCCATACAGCTCGAGGTCGTGCCATTGCACTCCAGCCTGGGTAATCAGAGCAAAACTCTGTCTCAAAAAAAAAAAAAAATGCCCATACAGCTCAAAGTAATTTATAGATTCAATGCCATCCCCATCAAGCTGCCATTGACTTTTTTCACAATACAGCATGGTACTGGTACCAAAGCAGATACATAGACCAAGGTAACAGAACAGAGGCCTCAGAAATAACACCACACATCTACAACCATCTGATCTTTGACTAACCTGACCAAAACAAGCAATGAGGAAAGAATTCCCTATTTAATAAATGGTGTTGGAAAAACTGGCTAGCCATATGCAGAAAACTGAACCTGGACTCCTTTCTTACAACTTACAAAATAATTAACTCAAGATGAATTAAAGACTTAAACATAAATCCTAAAACCATAAAAACCCTAGAAGAAAACCTAGGCAATACCATTCAGGATTTAGGCATGGGCAAAGATTTGATTAATAAAACACCAAAAGCAATGGCAACAAAAGTCAAAATTGACAAATGAGATCTACTTAAACTACAGAGCTTTTGTACAGCAAAAGAAACTATCATCAGAGTGAACAGGCAACCTACAGAATGGGAGAAAAAAATTCCAATCTATTTATCTGAAAAATGTCTAATATCCAGAATTTACAAAGAACTTAAACAAATTTAATTTACAAGAAAAAAAAAACCCATCAAAAAGTGGGCAAAGGATATGAACAGAAACTTCTCAAAAGGAGACATTTATGCAGCCAACAAACATGTGAAAAAAAAAAAACCTATCATCACCAGTCGTTAGAGAAATGCAAATCAAAACCACAATGAGATACCATCTCACACCAGTTTGAATGGTGATCATTAAAAACTAAGGAAACAACAGATGTGGAGAGGAGGTGGAGAAATAAGAATGCTTCTACACTGTTGGTGGGAGTGTAAATTAGTTCAACCATTGTGAAAGACAGTGTGGCAATTCCTCAAGGACCTAGAACCAGAAATATCATTTCACCCAGCAATCCCATTCCTGGATATATACCCATATAATTATAAATCATTCTACTGTAAAGACACATGCACACATATGTTTATTGCGGCACTGTTTACAACAGCAAAGACTTAGAACAAGCCCAAATCCCCATCAATGATAGACTAAATAAAGAAAATGTGGCATATACACACCATGGAATACTATGCAGCCATAAAAAAGGATGACTTCAAGTCCTTCACAGGGACATGGATGAAGCTGGAAACCATCATTCTCAGCAAACTAACACAAGAACAGAAAACCAAACACTGCATGTTCTCACTCATAAGTGGGAGTTGAACAATGATAACACACACACACACAGGGAGGGGATCATCACACACTGGGGCCTGTTGTGGGTGTGTGGGGGTCCAGGAAAGGGATAGCATTAGATGTAGATTAATGTAGATGATAGGTTGATGGATGCAGCAAACCACCATGGCATGAGTATACCTATGTAACCTGCACATTCTGCATATGTACCCCAGAACTTAAACTATAATTTTAAAAAAGGGGAACTTCCTAAAAAATGTTTATATATATATATATACACACACACATATATATATAGTCTTTCAAACAATCTACTACCTTAAGATAATCACAAACACGAAGAAATAAAATATAGTTAAGACTGAGAAACTGCATGTACCTTCTGACTATTATTCCTCTCCCACCACTAGGTTTTTCTTTCCTGTTATTTTTGAAACATAGATCCCAATCTTAATCCAAGCATTCATTTTTCTCAGAAGCATTTACTCAATTAAGCCAACTGTGAGAAACAATATACAGGATAAGATATGTACAAACTCCCAAGTACAAAAGAAGAGTACAATTGCAGTCCTTCAACTAAAAAAAATAGAAACAAAAAACCCACAAAACATAGCCCTGTGATCAAGACAAGCAAATTTTAAATATTCTGAACATCACTGGCCATGGTATAGTGCCTGTGTGCACATGTGTGTGCATGCAGTATTTATCATCCCTTATTTAAATAATCACTTTTAAATTTAATTATCATTTTTGTTCCCAAATTCTGTCTTGATCATGATAGAATTCAATTTAAAAATATTTTTATTTCACACATAATTTAGTGCTTTGAAATGAAATAGAAAATACTAAAAAAAAAAATGCCCATTACATGAAATAGAAAATAGG